TATTTTACTTGTAGAGTTTTAGTAATTCAGTTTACGCACAGCTGTGTGTAAATTCTGCTCCTTCCATCCAGCCATCCTTTTTTAGCTGCTTATGCGGGGTCGGGTCGCGGGGGCAGTAGCCTAAGCAGGGAGGCCCAGACTTACCTCTCCCCAGCGACTTGGGCCAGCACTTCCGGGGGAATCCCAAGGTGTATCCTGGCCAGGTGAGAGACGTAGTCCCTCCAGCTTGTCCTGGATCTTCCTTTAGGTCTCCTCCCAGTTGGACATTCCTGGAAAACCTCACCAGGGAGGTGTCCACGAGGTATCCTAACCAGATGCCCGAGCCACTTCAGCTGGCTCCTCTCGATGTGGAGGAGCAGCAGGTCTACTCAAAGCCACTCCCAGATGACCAAGCTTCTCACTCTATCTCTAATAGAGAGCCACTCTGCAGAGAAAACTTGTTTCGGCCGCTTGTATCCACGATTTCGTTCTTTTGGTCACTACCCAAAGCTCATGACCATAGGTGAGGGTAGGAACGCAGATCCACCGGTAAATCGAAAGCTTTGTCTTCTGGCTCAGCTCTCTCTTGACCACGACAGACCGGTACAACACCCGCATCACTGCAGAAGCAACACCAATCCACCTATCGATCTCATGCTCCAGTTTTCCCTCACTCGTGAACAAGACCCTGAGATACTTAAACTCCTCCTCTTGAGGCAGGACCTCATCCCTGACCTGGAGAAGGCATTCTACTATTTTCTGACTCAAGACCATCGTCTCAGATTTAGAGGAGCTGATTCTCATCCCAGCTACTTCACACTCGGCTGCGAACCGCTCCAGCGAAAGCTGAAGATCACGTTCTGATGAAGCCAACAGGACCACATCATCTGCAAAAAGCAGAGACCCGATCCTCAGGCCACCAAAACAGGTCCCGTCAATCAGTATTGTTTTTGGCGGGCATCTTAGTTGTAGTTTTAGTCTTGACAACGAAAATGCATTTAGTCTAATCTGTAAAGGTTTTAAAGAGTTTAGTTTTTAATTTTACAAACATTAAACAAAGTTTTATTCTCTAACAAATGAAAGTATAGGTCAGACTCTGAGCTGTTGGAGTGAGTATCATACATCATTCATTTTATAGCGGGACACAATCTCAGCTAACCCAGATTCTGTAAAACAAAAATCCCCAGACTGGTATCATTTTTTTTAGCTTTAATGATAATCACAATAATGTATATAATTTACTGATGCAGATCTGTGCATCATTCTGTAGATTTTCACTAAATGTTTGATTTTATTTCCTTAACAGAATGGCCTCTTAAGGAGCATACAGAGTATTCTACACAACATTTATACAGAAATAAAGAAATGTGTTTGTTTAATTTATTATTTGAGTCATCAGCCCTCCATCTTAGTGTTAGTGATAACACTATACCCTCTAAGGGTATAGAGCTGTCCCAGTGTTCCATGGGCAGGATGAAAACCACACAGCTCCTCCTGAATTCGAGGTTCGACAATTTGTTAGACCCTACTCTCCAGAATCCCTGAATAGACTTTACCAGGGAGGCTCAGGAGTAGGGTTGGTAATTGAAAACCAGTTCTTGTTTAGAACCAGTTCCCATTGTTCAAATTCCCAGAAATCGTTCGCCACTTTTGCAAGCGATTACCCTTATCAATTCAAGGTGGCGCAAATGAAGTCACTGTGCACGATGCGTAGCTTACGGAAGCAGGAAAATATGGCTGCTAAGTGATAGAAATGCTGAAAAGTTTGGTTATATTTTACAAGAAACAGCAACAACAGGGTAATACTCGCAAAGTAGATTACGAATATGCAAAAGCCCAAAAGCCTTTGGGCACAAAATATGTGATAACTTAAAGTTATTGACATGTTTTGACCTGCACTGGACAAGTGGATTTCATTGCAGTAGCAGCGGTGATGTTCGCACATCTTCTGTTAATACTGCCTATCATGTTAGCCTCATTTACCTTATATATACACACCTCCACACTAGCTGACTCTAGTGACAAAGATCTGACCTGTGGCCTAAGGTATCCTGGTGCTAAGAGCACATGTGGACACTTTTTTGTCTGAACATTGTCTTCATTATGGTCAATCCATGACTAGCACAGCATTCCAATAAAACACAGCTCAAAGTCAGATCAGGAGGGCCATTCCTCCTAACCACACCTCTCCAGGTCTCACTGTCGTTGCCCACATGAGCGTTAAAATCCCCCATCAGAACGAGGGAGTCACCAGAAGGAGCACTCTCCAGCACCTCCTCCAAGGACTCCAAAAAGGGTGGGCAGTCTGAACTGTAGTTTGGTGCATAAGGACAGACAGCAGTCAGCACCCGTCCCCCACATGCAGGCAGAGGGAGGCTACCCTCTCATTCACGGGGGTAAACCCCAACGTGCAGGCACCAAGATGGGGGCAACTAGGATGCCCACCCCTGTTTGGCGCTTCTCAATGGGGACAACTCCAGAGTGATAGAGTGTCCAGACCCTCTAAAGGAAACTGGTTCTGGAGCCATAGCCATGCTATGAGGTGAGTCCAACTATATCTAGCCAGAACCTCTCAACCTCGCACACCATCTCCGACTTCTTCCTCACCAAAGATGTGAAATTCCATCTACTGAGAGCCAGCTTCTGTAGCTACCACCCTTCACACTTTGCATCTGTAACATCCAGCAATGGTCAGTTTTCACCTACAGAGTGACCTACATGCCACCGGTCATCTACAGACATAAATTCCATTCTCTAAGGTGGATTTTACATTCTATCTTCCAACAAGCCACAAGATTCTGCAGCTCTGAACACATGATAACGTATTGTATGAATACTAATGAAGTGTTTTGATTAATCTATGCTTAAATTACTGTGGTTGAAATGAATTTTATTATAACAATGAACCATTTTGGTGTTATGATCAGTAATGTTTGATTTAACAAGTGAATCATTATCTACACTCAGACACAATGTTCATTAGAGATAAATTAAAGTAATTTCTGCACATAGATATTTTCTTACCCACAAATCAGAGCATCCTGTATCTGAAAGAAGGCGTGATGTTCTGAGGTTTATTTGTTAACACCTCTTAACATAGCACTTCCCGACTGGCCAGGTAATCAAAAATGGCGATCAATAAAACAGTGCTCACTTCGCCATGAGTCAGTTCTAGAGAAAACTATGGACCGGCCATCCGGAGCAAAAACCTCTTTAACCCAGAGCATCTTTTGACAAGCTGTCAAAAATCTGCTACACGCTGAAGCTGACACAGCAAACGGTTCCCGCAGAACAAAGCTGATACAGGTCCGACTCCCTAAAGCCCCCTTCAGACAGGCCATGAAAAACAGAAATGTTCCGGACTCTGTCCATAAGACCTTTGTGTCTAAATACAAACATCCGGATAACGTTTTCCGTAATTTAACCGGACGACGCCCCTAGTAACAGGTCCGGACTTGTTACGGACAAGGTGGCTGCTTCAGACTGGTGAGGTAAAGTTCCGGACTGGGAGGAGGGGACCGGGGGATGCTGTGCGCACCTAGTTAGCCCACTGCTGTAGCATGCGGCGAACCATGGCAGCTCGCCTCCTACGGTACCGTTTAGATGCACGACGGAGCGCTTCACACCGCTTCAGTGTTTCCTTTAACCATTGAGCTTCATCATCCAGGTCTTTTATGCATCTTCGTGTGCGCAGAATTATGCTTAACATAAGTCCGACACCCCACCCCCCACCCCCCCACCCCCCTTAGACATCTGGAACTTTTCCCTGCTGTGTGAACGCAGCCGAAAGGTCAAGTTCCGGTACAAAATTTGTGTGTCTGAAAGCACAGTTCCGTTAAAAACCGGATTGAATTGTCCACACATATTCCAGAATGTCTATCTGAAAAGGGCTTAGGTGTCCTTCTAGACGCAAACTAGTTCCAACCTGTTGTGACTCGGGAAACATCTCTGGACTGGAGAGTTGGTGCTGCAGTTAATCTACTGAACCTTGGTGCCCAGAGGTCATCCGACCTTCCTGACCTCCAGATCTGCGAAGAGGGTCTCCAAAAAGGGTGAGGTAGACACAGCATGAATTGCATCTGATGTGGTTTTGATAAGAATCAACTTCCTAGTTAATGCAAACCAAATTCTTTTCACACCCAGAACTCATTTTCTTCTAGATACAAGGTTCTGATAAACACACACCATTCAATCACCATACGTCACATTCCATCCACTTAGATTCATCCATCACAGTCGTCCTATTAACTTGTCTTGTTTTAATTTGATTAGAAAATAAATTTCTTACCTTTTATAAACCTGACTCTGTCTGAATTGATACAAAGTGTGTTTGATCCCTGAAAAGGAAAGAATCCTAGAATCTTCTGATTAAACATCCAAAGACCAAGCAGGTTGATATTCTATATTTATATAGAATATCACATCTTATTGGTCATAAGTAAAGGTAATATATTAAGCTTAAAAGCAACAACCTTTAACCCTACACATCCAACCCCTTTGGCCCCTCCAAGTGGTGAACCCACGGGAAGGGGGGCCCATGGTTCCTCTTCGAGCTGTGCCAGGCTGGGCTCCACGGGTGAAAGCCCGGCCACCAGACACTTGCCGAAGTGCTCCACCTCCAGGCCTGGCTCCAGAGGGGGGCCCTGTTGACCCACGTCCTGGTGAAGGAACACTGTTTCCATTTGTATAGTTCATAATAAGGGTTCTATGGGTTGCACTTTGTCTGATCCCTCACCTAAGACCTATTTGCGATGGGTGACCCTACCAGAGGCATAACGGGACACTCAAACCACTCCACCATGGTAAGATGGCAGCCCAGGGAGGGGTGTAAATTCTGGTGATAAAATTATGTAAGAAACAGAAAATGTGAGGAGCCATTTGAGAGGCTAAAGTGTCAGTTCATTTTATGATCCGAGCATTAAGAATCTTACTTTTAAAGGAGCCGGAGTTCTCATCACTATTGTACTAGCACCATGATCACTGTAGCATGTTTGACAGAGCTTTTGTGTTTTCTCTTGCAGGATCTGGAGCTTGTCCCTGCAGTGGGAGAAAGGTGTTGCTACTGCCAAGGTGAACTTACATGAATTACTACATTATTAAATCCAAAAAGACACAGTTTACTTTGTCCCTGCTTAGGAATGTCAGTTATGGTTCATCATATGCAAGCCACACATTATAATACCACAGCGTGCTTTACGTTTTAACCATAGACAAAGATATTTCTGGACGGAGCAACACCCATTCTCCTCATTTGACTAAATTAAGCAAAATGGGAGGTTCCCATCCTGTCCACATTAGCAGAGTCACGCATCTCATCACGACCAGACAATCCAAAAAAGGGAAAAGAGGTGAAGATGAGGGTGGGGCTGTTATGGTGGGAGGAAATGAGCCAATGTAGCTACTTGCTAAGTTAGCTAAACCAAAAAGATGTAGCTTTGGGAAAGCCGACTTGCGCCGCCGCCTGGCTTTCGTGCAAGGCTCAAGTTGCACTGGTCACCTGTGGAGCTCAAATATGGACTGTTACAATACAAGCAGAGCCTCAGACTGCTGCGATCAGATCATTCTGTCACGTAGCGGTGTGGGTGGCGGCGGACCATGTGTGGTGGAGCTGACCCAGGAGGCAGAAATGCAGGCTCAGATAACATAAAACGGATTTAATGACTGAGGATACAGCAGGAGCAAAGAGACAAGGTGGAGAAACAACAACAACACAACAATGATCCTACAAGGGACACATGCAAGACGGGAGGTATAAATACACAGGGAACAATGCGAACACATGGGCAGGTTAACAAGGGGCAGGTGAGTCCAACAACTAACTAATCAGGGGCAGGAGAGAGTAAGAGAGGGGTAGGAGCAGATCCTGTCAATGGTAACCTAGAAATCTCTAATGATAATGTTTAAGAATCTGCTTACGGGAGCGAACCAGTTCATTCAACATATGATAATGTGAAAAGGTACAATCATTACTTTCTGAAAGTTTAGGACATCATATTATAATCCCTTCTTTTTTTCTAATGAGAGCGTAATTTAAGTTTATAAACAAAACATTAATCTTCACTCCTATATTTGACATTTCATTTCTGTTAATTTAACCTCCTATCAGTGGTTACTTGGTACATTCTGCTTGAATATGTTATTTTGGTTTACTCTCATGTAATTACTGATGATTATTACATTCTCATATATTTCCTGATTAATGTGTAATGGTTTGGATGCTGAACTGGATTATCTAAGATATACAGTATCAGGTACTTTTCAAATGAACAACGGATATCTACATTCACGTATCAACTAAAGTCCTAATGTCTGACTTTACCTTGAACGGTGTGTGAGGTTTAGTCATCAAGGCCTCATGAAAATGATGAAGGTTTTTCGTTGTTCAGCAGATGCACCAGCGTCAGATAGTTGGCTGATTATCAAGATGAATCAGCTAACTATCTTCCACGGAGAAGTATCAGGCACCATCGACCTCTGTGTCTGAAGAGGTCAGTGTAGCCCAGCAGTCTCCTTCATTTGGGTTATGATTAGGGGACAGTGAGATTTGGCATGTGGTACTGAGAAATGGCCGAATCTCACTCAGGCCCTGTCCACACGTAGCTGGGGATCTGCCAAAATGTAGATATTTTTCTACGTTTTGGCCTGTCATCCAAACGAAAATGGAGTTTTTTCACACGAAAACGGATCTTTTTAAAAACTCCGGCCAAAGTGAAGATCTGCGTTTTCTTCGTTTTGGGTGTCTGCGTGTGGACGGACAAAACCAGAGTTTTAAGGTCCGCAACGTCACTTTCCGCAACAAAAAAAATGCTGACATCACGTGTGCGACCTGTGTTTACACTAGCCGGCATCATGGAAGCCTTCAGAGCTGCGCTCTGTCACTACCCGATCCATCAATTGTCCAAGCGCTTTCTGCTTGTTTGTTTTTGCAAGCGGAATTACTGCTCCTTGCGGAAGACCACAGACGAAGGACGAGGTTAAGAACGGGGGAAGTACTGCCGCCTACAGGTGTGGCATGTCCTTAACAACGTATTTATCTGGGTACGTGTGGACAGAGTTATTTTTTAAAACGCGGTGGTGTGGATGCAAGTTTTTGGAGGGGCGGATATTCGTTTTTAAAAAACCCCGGCTACGTGTGGACTAGGCCTCAGTAACACGTGAACAAACAAATGAATATTCAACAATTAAATCCCATTTATAAAATAAATTTAGGTGTGTCACAGAGTTCTTAAACTTTGCCATATTTTCTGAACTCTGAGTTATAAAATGTAGCCAATTTCATACTGTCTTCTCTTTAATAAATGAAATATTTTGTCATTGACAATAATTTACTCGCGGTATTTGATGTGTTCTGCAATAAATCGGTTCAGTAATTCGTTTATAATTCACCAAAATTAAATGTTTCAGCCATAAACTACATAATCTTTCCTCCCCAAATTCTAAAGTGTTAAAGGTAGAGCAGGCTGTGTCCACAGTCATCTACTCTGACTCTGTTATCTCTACCGGCTCCGAACAACATGAGCCGATGTTGATATTTAAAGTCCAAGGAGGACAAAAGACAGATTGTCTCAAACCAAACTGTCCAGCAACTTCAGACTTAATTTCAAAGCCTATATATGTGCAAAACCCATATTTAAGTTAAAGCAGCAACGCTTTTTTTTCGTTTGTTGTTCTTCCAGAAATTATTATTATTATTTATTATTATTATTATTATTATTATTATTATTATTATTATTATTATTCTAGAGTGTTCAAATTGCAGTTTTTGAATTCATCAATTCAGATTTTGTCACCCGGGTGTCGTTTGTGGGGTTTTATCTCCCCGTGTCCTGTCTGGCTGTGAAGCAAACAGAATTGATGTCTGAATGCTGGTGACAAGCCTTACAGATTTACTCTCAGATGGAGCATCAAAGCTTCAGCTTTAATGTCACGCCTGATAATTAAAACTTTATTGTTACTGTTTTTTGATACTTAATCATTTCGACCAGACACGGAGACAGAAGTAAAAAAAAAAAGGAAGAAACAAAGGGGGGGGGGGTCCACAAAAATAAACAATCAATAATGAACAAGAGTCTGCTTCTAGACCTGCAGAAAGAGAAAAACAACAATACAACAACAGCAAGCTATCACTGTGTCAACCTAATAAGGAAATTCAAAATCAACATTGTTTTACTGAACAATCGCACGATAATAACTCACAGTGCATTTAGTGCCAGCCACAGCCTTAAGACGTGTTGAAAATGCCCAAGTCCATACTTATGAGAGCACCATGTGAGCACATATACGTGCTTGTATATGTAAGGTTTCTCTATAGGAGCGTCCAATAGAGAGTGTGAGGGGCCACAGATCTGCCCCCCAAAGATGTGTAAGAGATGGAAGGAGCTCCAAGTCCCAGAGATCCAGGAGCTGCCGCAGAGCACAGGGACCCCAGGGAGACTGTAACCTGAAAAGCCCCAGCCCCCTCTCGAGAGGCGCAGAGGATTGCCCCAGGGGGTCACAACCAGCAGCTGGTAGAGTCCCGGCCGGGAGATATCAGTGACAAGCCCACAGGCCCGCCCACAGCCTCCCATCCCAAAGCCGGCCAAGCCCGGAATCCAGCGACCCAGGACCCAGGGGCGACCAGCCCCGCCCGGGCTCGAACAGAGCTCAGGGACTCTTATCCCACCAGGCAGCCACCGGGATCGATCAGGTAGACCCCAAAAATCCTAAACCCCCTTACCCAGGAGCTGCAAACACTCAGGCAGACCAAGGCACCACACTCCACACCAAATGTGGCAGGGGGAGGGTAGGCGAAGATGTTTGCGAAGAGCTTGCTGTCCACATACAGTTTAGCTACGGAGATGACAACCCGTTTCCCATCCTGGATGAACTTATTACGCAACGGGAAGTGAACTCGGCGGCGATCCAGAGTTTTCTTTGGAAATTGGTCATTGACGCTGAAGTCTTTACCTTTAAGCTCTCTCCCGCGGCTTTTAACCCGCTCAGGCTTAAAATACATTTTGATAAAAGGATGAAGAACTAAGGTACTTCTGAGTAAAAAAATGCTCATGAAATATGTATTTGGAGTAACCAGGTAGGTAGGTTTTGATATTGTAAATCTGCAACGCCTGCCTCCAGAGGGTTAACAAGATCTTTCTGCTTGAAGTGCTCAAATTTAGCCACGATGTGAAGAGGTCTTCTGCGAGGTCTTCTGTTTCGTTTTTCATCTGCTGAAACTCCCTTCGTTTTATTTAAAATGTCAGAGACAAAGATTATATATATATATATATATATATATATATATATATATATATATATATATATATATATATATATATATATATATATAAAGTTAAAAAACGCAAGTTGACAATGGTCACTAGTTTTTTGTTGGCCTGGAATTATTGTTAATTACACAGTCAATTTCTCAGTCCAGGAGCATCCACTAAAAACCTACATACTTAGCTTTTGTTGGTCTAGAAGTACTGTTAAACAGCCATTGTTTCAGACCAAGGGGTTCTATTAAAATCATTTCCCTGTCAGCCACCTAAGTGACACTGTTCACAGTCCAAAACTGTATTAGTCACCAAATTACTAGAGAAATCATGTACACTGAACCTGAGATTAGCTACTTCAACCAGAGGGTAGATCCCTTCAGCTGAAGTATCTATTGTAGTGTGGTCAGTAGGGATGTGAGTCTTAGAGCAACTCACGATTTGATTCCATTCCGATTCTCTGGGTGTCGATTCGATTCTGAATCGATTCTCGATTTAAATGAATTCACAATCAATGTTAACAAAGAGTGTCAGTTCTAGGATTAACTACTTTGTTGTACAAGTTAGTTAAAGCTATGGGAAATTTTTTTTTATTTTACTTTAAACTGGTCATGCTAAAAAAATGCTAATTTACAATGTAAACTAAAGTGATTCTAAAACTGTAAACAGAAGCAATCTTTTGACCAAAATGCAACATTTATTTTTGCTTACCTTGTAAAATATAACAAATCTTTAGTTACCTAACAGTAGCTTTGAAAGTAATACAGTCAAATACTTTTTAAGTATGTGTGGAAACAAGTTTAACATTTGAGTCCTCAA